ACTGAAACTTAGAAAAATAACCTTATCTGACCTTTTGTAGCAGGGAAAGTGTTCCTTAAGTAAAGTACACAGCAAAAAATCTAAACTTCTAGCAACTGAAGCTCAGGTTGTGTTTACCTTCTTTCTTGTGTTTTATAATTGTAGGAAACAGGGAGGTAGCTGCTTATGTCAGGTCAGGAAGGAAGCAAACTGCTGACAAGGTTTCTGCGATAAGTTGGCCTCTGGAGCTGGTTTCGTGTACTAAAGGATAGCAAGCTCTTGTGTTAAGAAAACCATAATATTTTTTTTACCCACCCGAATGCTACTTACTGTAATAACCCAGAGCTGTTATTGGCTGACTGTAGATGCAGCCAAAAACACTGTCTCTTGCCAAAGATTACAGCTTCTATGAAGAGACAGTAAGAAGCTTGAATTTAGCTTCTGAGAGTTAAGGCCACAAACTTCTATCAAAAGTGAGCTGAGTGCTTTCTTTCACTCTATTTTAATGGAAATAGAGTTGTATCAAGGCTACCATAATCTACTTGAAAAGACACCATCAAAGTAGGTGCTATGGCAACAGTGCAGCTTTATCCTCAGTCTGTTAGGAGTGGGAGATGTGGGCAATGCAGTGCCGATGAGGAGTGTTATGTTGGTGAATGAGGAAATGAATCAAATGTACCTCCAACTATCCTGGACAGCTACAGCCATGGAGCTTCTGCAGTTGTGGGGGTGGACTGGCTGCAGTGACGTTCAGAGTCAATCTTGTCAAGTGTCAGCGTGCTCTTTGAAGGAACCCAAGTGCTATTGGCATTTAGTTTGCCTGGAAACAAATTTGTAGGAGCAAATCTTGCTATTTGCAAGGCTCTTTCCATGCACGGGGTAAATGAATCTAGTCTGGATAATGGAAAGCTTCTTATTATTTAAAATATGATAGTAGTTCTAAGTGAAGTACTCTAGTTTTCCTCCTGTATTTAAGGCAGCTTGTATAGCCAAATGGCTGCATTGGAGAGCTGTGTGTCTGAAGCTGAATGGACAGCGTTGACTAGCACTCAAACTACTTGCATTCTGCCTGTGAAAGTCTCCTTGCTTGTATACATAAACAATTTTCAGAGTTCTAACTGGGTATAGTGCGGGGGCTGACCATTACCAGTTTGAACGTTAGCCAAATGACTGTAGAAACTTGTTTGGCATCTGGTAGAATGCAGGAGTGACTGAAGGGTCTGGGTTTGTCATCTACTGTTCAACTATAATTTAACTTGTCACCAGTTCTGACTATGTTTATTCCTGTCTACTGGCTTGGCCACTAACTGACCCAGCAGAAGACAGACTGTTAGTTTGACAGTAACAAGGGAAAGCCTAATGTGTGGGTACATACAGTCCGATACAGAAACAGTGATAGGCAGAATCTGTCTGGTCTCAGCATCTTTCTGTGCTTAGGATCTGGGGCTATGTGGGGCTTTGGCAGAGCTGTTTTATTGCTCCTTCTGGAGTAATGCTTTATCTGCAGTTTTGACTAGTGACTTCTGGTTGTCTAATGCCTTGGGTAATACATAATCCTTTCAGGTTGAGGACTTGGATTCAGACTGCTAGGAGGCATGATTTCAGACTAAGAAATTGTCAGAAATGCTTTTGGAAAAAAAGGAGATTAATTATTACACCATAGAAGAAACCATTGCTGTAGTAATTATGCTGAATTTATCAGAAGAATGAACTATGCTCCAGGGGCTGTGCCAAACTGGGTCATGGGTCATGATGGTAAACTCTGCAGATCACCAAGCCAGAAAACAGACACTGTAATGCTGAGTGAGCACGGGGAGAAATGTTTGTAAAAAATGAAACTAGCCTGACTTCACATTCTGTGCCTTAGTCCTATCTCTGCTCTAGCAGGCAAAGCAAGCACTAAGTGTTTAGAACAGCTGCTGGCACCTCTGTGACTAAATAAGGACAACTCCACATAAGCTGTGAAGCCGAGAAGAACTTTGATAGGCTGTGTGGTCTTGAAATGACATTTCAGTAGAAATTGAAAGCTTCTTTTGACAACTTAGTTGTCATCTCCTACCAAATTCTTGCCCAGTGATAGCCCATGCTTCAGCAGCTGTCTGTCTTGCTTAATGAAAACATCTATCCATGGCAGATGGAGGCAGTAGGGCCTGGAGAAACCCTTCCTGGTGAAGAAGAAAGTGGTCTGTTCAGACAGGGAAACAAGGATTCTTAATGATGAAGGCACAAGAAATGACTGGTTGGAGCGAGTCCAGAGGAGGCCACGAAGATGCTCAGAGGGCTGGAGCACCTCTGCTATGGGGACAGGCTGAGAGAGTTGGGCTTGTTCAGCCTGGAGAAGAGAAGGCTCCGGGGAGACCTTATAGCACCTTCCAGTACCTGAAGGGGCTACAAGGAAGCTGGGGGGGACTTTCTACAAGGACCTGTAGTGACAACACAAGGGGTAACGAGTTTGAACTAAAAGAGGGTAGAGTTAGACTGGCTATCAGGAAGAAGTTCTTCTTGGAGAGGGTGGTGAGGGACTGGAACAGGTTGCCCAGAGAAGCTGTGGTTGCCCCATCCCTGGGAGTGTTCAAGGCCAGGCTGGATGAGGCTCTGAGCAACCTGGTCTAGTGGAAGGTGTCCCTGCCCATGGCAGGGGGGTTGGAACTGGATGGTCTTTAAGGTCCCTTCCAACCCAAACCATGCAAAGACACAGTAACTTCAGGTGTGAATATATACCAACTTAAAAATAAGGATGTAATATATAAATAGGTTAAGCAACGTAAAACAGGACAAACTGCTTTAAATAGATAATTTCCGACGGCTGGGTATCTGAAGAATTCTACCCTATTGGTACTAATTTCTGGAGGATGGAGAATTGCTGCAGTTTCTAGGTTTTAAGGAACATGAGATTTAGAAGTTGATCTCAACAAATAGCTCTAATTCATATGCAGACAAAAGGACGCTTTCCTTTAGCATGTAGTTGAGAAGGTGTGACTTGTCAGCCACTCAGTTTAATGGCAGCCTTACAGCATACACTTGAGTTTGAACATTCCAGTGCTTATGATCAAAATGGGAGAAGATTTTTCATCTTTAAGGGAAAAGTGCTCTAACTGTCCTTTTCTCTAACTTGCTAGCTGGGGTAGCATGTCAGATTCAAAGGGAATGTAGTCAGTAAAATGAGCTCAATTGGCACTTCTACCCCTACATTGTGTCTGTAAGCCTGATGTGTTGCTAAGAGATTAACTTTATAGACTTCATGCCCAGAAGCATGAAAAGAGTTCCTGAAGACCTGGGAACTCATTGTTTTTTAGCTGCTTTTATTCAGTTCTAATCCCTCTTGTAAGTAACTTGAGAGGACAATGGAATATTTTCTGCTGGTGAGAGCCTATATGTTAAATACTGTAAAGGACTTTTCTACCTGAGACACTGGCAAAGATTTGATGTTGTAATGTGGAAGGCTGAACTTGGTTAAAAAGCCAGTAGCTGAAATCAGAGATAAATAATCCAGTCCTTCATTTCTGGGAATCTCCTCCATGCACTCTGGGAGACCTAGCTTTATGAACTCTTCAGCTGAGTATTCTTATCCTCAATATGAGAGTGTTTGTTTATAAAGCCTGACTTTTGCCATAATAGTCTTAAGTGCAATTTTATTATTAGTCACTAGGAGAGTCACTAGTGTTTTACTTGAAGGAGAGCTTGAGTACTTGTAAACATTTAGCAATAAGCGATTTCATAACAGAATGCTGTTTTGTACTTTATCACTAGTAAATTTTGGACTAAATAGCATAATGTGAAAGTACACAACTAACTTCTTGAGTACTTTTGGACTGTGACAGCCAAAACCTTGTTATTGGCTGGCAGTAATACAATGGCCTCTAGTCACAGGCCTGCCTAGTGCAGGAAAACATCTGCAATTAAACTGGTTTTGAGCAGCCAAAAGTATCACTCAAGCTGAAGTATAGCTTAAGCATAACAGCCTACAAATAATATTGTACAGGGATATCCACCCAAGTTGGGATCAGAAGCTGAGGGAGACTGCTTAAACTTAAAAAAATAAAACAGCAAAAGCAGAAGGCACCAGCTGAGAATGACTACTGTGCTTCTGCCAACAGGAAAACTGGGGAATACCACAGTCCCATGTGAACATCACCTTCCTAGGGTACTTATCAAGGGCCATCTTTCAAAGTGTGCAAGACAGTGTATACACGCTCTGACAACTGCAAGCTTTACTCTGTTAATGCTGGTTGTGTATAGCAATTACAGACTCCTGGTCTTGCTTTTAGTGGCTTGTAACACCCACAGACATGTTCTTGTAACACTCTAGCCAGGTTGCCATCTCAACAACACTTAGACTTTGTTTGTGATCTTGGAGCTTTCCATTTGGGGGATGTCACCAGGAGAGTGCTCTCCTGATGTCTACTCTTGAAATAATGTGCCAACTGGATTGCAACAATGGGATAACCCTGCACCCAAAGAATAAATAGAAGTAATATGGGCAATACTAGTAAATCTCCAGCTTCACCTGTCCTGAATGCATTTGCTGGAGGACTTAAAGGTTTTGCTTTTAAAGATGTTGCAGCCATGTGGTATCAGGTAGCAGAAAAGTACAGGAAGCTTGGTTAATTGTCCCGTGCTGGTACCTGAAACACTACTTGAATGCAATAAGAGGAGCCTGTGTGGATTAAGAAATTTTTTCTTCCCCACCCTGATATTGTATACATGTTGGCATTAGGAATCCAGCTCCTGAGACAGTAAGAATAGATGTTCCTAAGGTTGCACAAACATCTCCAGTGGCCAGCAAATCTACTGTTCTGCTAGGTGAGATGGTGGCAAAACACCAGTGATTAGGATGTTCTGTAAATGTTAACCTCAGTTAACCAGTTTGAGGCACAGCTCACTCCTCTAGGTTACAGAAAACCAGATAAAGCTCTGTCTTAGGTGTTTCTTAATACTGTTGCTGAAGTGGAACTAATTTGTAACTTGTAACAGCTTGTTTCTTGCTTCTGATTATCAAAACTTCTAATTTGTCTAATCAGTAGCTTATGTTCTTGTTTTCAGACAAATCTACCTATCTTCAAATTGAAAGAATCTACAGTCAGAAGAAGATACAGTGATTTTGAATGGCTAAGGAATGAACTAGAAAGGGAAAGCAAGGTGGGTAAAATGAAAGGTAGAACAAGTCTTCGTAGCTATACAAAGAGCAGTGCTAGTCAGAAGAAGATACAGTGATTTTGAATGGCTAAGGAATGAACTAGAAAGGGAAAGCAAGGTGGGTAAAATGAAAGGTAGAAGTCTTCGTAGCTATACAAAAAGCAGTGCTGCTAGAATGTCATCTGCCCTATATGATGCATATGCTTTATCATGGTTGAAAATGTCCAGAACTAAAATGCTATCTTTCAGCAAACCTTCGTTGTACAATACTAGAGGCTGTTTAATGGTTTTGAGTTAATTCAGAGTTTAAACTACTTGAATTCAACTTACCTCTATTGCAGATACTGTTCTTTTAGTCATGTTTTATTAGGTCACTCATGATGTGGTTGAGGTGGGTCCTCTAGGAGGAAGAGGTGGCACAGGATGTGTATAAACTTGCTTATAGACTGCACTTATGGACATTTTTTCTAAATATTTCAGGTTGTGGTACCACCTCTACCAGGAAAAGCTCTTCTCCGTCAGCTTCCTTTCCGAGGAGATGATGGAATATTTGATGATTCCTTTATAGAGGAAAGGAAGCAGGCTCTTGAACAATTCATAAACAAGTAAGTGTTGGGTCTAGTTATCTGGAAACAGACCTAAAACTCAGCTCTGGAAAACTGAATTAAAGCTGCTAATCCTCCAACTCTGGTAGCTGCAGGTTCGGAATAACTTTCACATGATCCTGCAGTAAGACATAGTAGCATTACTCATCCAGTGTTTAGTTTGGATATCTTAATGCTTACCTGAACAACTGAAATGAATGTTAGAGGGTTTGTTAATTTATGCAAATTACTACTAAAATTACAGCATTCAGAATAGTTCTACTTTTCATTTCTGAAAAGGTATCCTCCATTGGGTGAACAATGGAGCTTACAATGGGCTTATGGCAGTTTACTTTGATTGCAGATGTGAGGTATTATCAGCTTGTGTAATGATGCATATTTTCTCTAATCATCGTGAGAATCTTTCTGAAATGTAAAAACACTACCTGAGGTGTGCACGTACATAGTTTGAAATAAACACTTTGGGGTTTTTCCCTGCCTCTCAAAAGATGAGCAAAAGTTATAGTAAAGTCTTATTCTTTTTCTACCATCTGAAATGAACTGCTTTCCATAGTGACCCAAAAAGCAAGTAATATTTTGATCTTGTGGAAGGTATGAAACTTATTGGTCAATTTTTCCTCCTTTTGAAACATAAAGGCAGGCTGTTAATGTAGAAATTGATGTAGTGGCAGACTTGGTACAGCTGGAACAAGATTCTTCAAGCAGAACTCCTAGCTCTTCAACCTCATCATTTTAATGGCATGACCCGCTTATGAAGCAAATATTACTAATTAAAGTTTTGAACCATATAGAAGCTTTAAGACTTCTACCAACTACTCTGGGTACTAGTGAAATTAGTCCTGGAGTTAATTTGCATTGTGCATTCACATTACTGCATTCTCAAAGCTGGTCTTTGCCCCTAGACCTAGAGACGGGTCCCTTACATAAATGGTACTGCTAGATCAAAAGAAAGATCTTGATATCCAGGATGTTGAGAAGCTTTGTCCTGCTAGATCTGAAAAATCTAGAGGGACTAAAACATAGCAGTGCAGCTTACTTAGGTCAGCTCTCTTGGACCAGCTTGCTGGCATCAACATCATCAGTACCTGCAACCACATCCACAGGGGTAGCTACATTGCAACACACTTGTCTGCCTGAACCTGACTTTGGGATGCTCCATGCAAATTTTTTGAAGTAGCAGCTGCTCTGTGTAAGGGTCACCTTAGAGAAGAATGCTGAGGAAAAGCCAGTGAGGTGTTCATGTGAAACTAAAAGAGCTGAATCTGAGACATCACATCTAGGTTTGCAAATTGGTGGCTGAACTGCAGGACTTCCTGAAAGGGAGAAGGAATATGCTGCTGCCTTGTCATCTTGTCCTGTAGATCTTGCTCTTGAAATTCAAGGCCAGCAACTTCAGTCTGATGGGGGTTAAAAAAACCCTCAAACTAGTTATTCTAGGCTGTCTTCCATGTGAACTAGTGCTTGAGACTAGAACCTGGCAATATTGATAGATTATTCCAAGTCCAGTCATAAAACCTATTGCTCCTCAATAGGAGAGCTCAGCTTCTGCATTAAGAAGCACCGTCAATGGCAAGTGAGTAGTGACAAGTGTGTCTGTCCTGTGGTGGAATAAACACAAACAGCTATGTTTGTAGAAGGTGCACAAAAGTGCTTGGAAGTGCTGATGCTGAGCTGCTGGAGCTGGCTGTGTTACGTGTGTTCAGCTACCTAACTTCTGCTAGGAGTAAAAGTGTTCTGACAGAGATGGAGGCCAGAAGACTGACACGAGCTGTCCTAGGGAGGATGAGGACTTTCTCCCTTAAAGAGAGAAGCCTGTCTTGTCTTGATTGACCAAACTGCCCTAAGTTTTCCTATCCATAAGTGATCAACTTCCAGGGTTTCTGATACTCTTAGATTTTTACCTACACAGAAGGGTGCATGGTATTTTAAGGGCTTAAATGCAATTCCTTGTGGTTTTCCAAGCCTGGGAGGGTTTTCTAATTCAATTTCAGCTCACTTACCATTCAAAGGACGATGGTTCAGCCTGTATGTGGAACAAAACTAAATCTGCAGTAGAGGTGCTGGCCTCTTCTAGAGCAGATTAGATGTGAAACACAGGGAATTCAGCTTAAGACATCTGCAGTTAACCATGGCCAGTACCCTCCAGCTGCACGTCGGTGCCGCTTGTACATGCGAGGAGTAGTGACCACGGGAAGTCGCTGTTGTGAACAGTGTCAGAGCCTCCAGGAGACCTTCATACCCTCTGGAGTAAGTCTTTAGCTCTGCCTGAGCTAACTGCTACCGAATCAGATTGAGAGCTGAAGGGTTAAGCTGCCTTTACAAAGGTGTGACAGTCCCCTCAATTGCAGGTGACAGATGATGACATAACATGCTTCCAAATGATCAGAAGTAGCTCAGGGTTCCTGTGGACTGACTTCATCGGCGGGAGAGTGACCAATCTTGCTGCCAGACACCAGCAGCGAACTGGAAGTGGGATCTATGCCTAAGTGCAGAACACCAGGATATTGGTATAAAACCTCGCTCTGCTGGCTAGCTGCAACTAGACTTGTTAGCACTAATGCTTGTTTTTTCCTCTCCAGGGTTGCAGGCCACCCACTGGCACAGAACGAGCGCTGTCTTCACATGTTCTTACAAGATGAAGTAATAGACAAAAACTACACACCATCCAAAATAAGGCATACTTGAGTTCTGAAACCTTCCTCCCAAACATTAGTGGTTCTTATGCTTGGTTTTAAGAGGTTGTAGTTTGTCTTAGCATGCTGAGGATAAACAGGCATGAAGTCTCCACTAACATCAGTACACTGCTTGGTCTTTGCATATACTTTATAGCATTAAAGAACTCACTTTGTCTTCTAGCTAAATCCCTCTGAATCCTTGATTTGAAGAGTGTTACACTATGAGACCATCCACCCCCTTGCAATGTCTCACAAACCTTGCCACTCTTATTTGCAATGACTTAACAATGTTTACTGACTTGGCCTTACTTGAACTTGCACAGTTGTAGTGTCACGTGTTCACTTGTACCTGACTAAACTGCTATGCTGTTTCTGAGGTGGTCATCTGTCCGAACTTCCTTATTTCTGATACCCTGTGTGAGAAACACTTATGCAATTGTCTTCAAGCTTGTAAAACACTTTATACTGAAGTAATGAGGGAATTATCTTTATATTCTGTAAGAAGAAAAAAAAATCAAATTTATATACTAAAGTAACTTGTCTAAAGTTTTGAAATAAAAGTGAAAATGCACTTCAAATGTTTTGTCACTCTTCACCTTGAGAGTGGGGTGTCTTGTGCTTTCTGAGAAGCCGAGACTTGGCTATACTAAGTGAAGTGGTGTTTCAGCCCTGTTGCAGTACGGTGTGGCCCTATGTTACTGACAGCCAGCGCTCGGTACCCTTAGTTGCTGGCACTTGCTGCTCAAGTGTTAAAGAATATATAAAGGTATTGAAAGCTGATCCTATGCTGTGAAGCCAAGCTGGAACCCCATTCATGGTGGGCTGTACACATCTGTGGCTTCAGTCAGTCTGGGAAAAGAGTACCTTCCTACTTGCCATGAGAAGCACCAATCTAGCTTCAGCTGGTGAATGTTATACCATCCTGCAGAGAAAGGGATGCTGATGTAACCCGTAACTTCAGGCCCAGACTAAAGCAGCTGTGCTCTACAAATATTATTAGGGCCATGGAGGCCTACAAGCCTGCTCTAAGGTGTGATTCTAGACTGCTTCCCAGAAAAGTAAAGGAAGGGGAAGCTGTAGAATTGTGCTTGTATGACTACTAGTGAAATGGAGGCTGCTGATTCCTGAGCTGCAGGTCACAAGCAGCACTGCTGAAGTTGTCTTTCCAGGGCTGGAGAAGCTTCCTTAGTGCTTCCAAATGTGGTGTGGGAGCTACCCGTCCAGATGCCCTTAAACAGATTTGAGAACATACTAGCTCGATGTCCGAGTGGAGATCG